CAGGCTAACATGAATAACAGCTTGCAGTTTGCAAGGAAAAAAACCCCTGAAAATCCATTGATAACACCAAGAAAGACAGTAATGTGGTGATACAGTTTACAAGGCCCAAAGATAATTTGCAGCTCCACTCCTTGGGGCCGCATCTGCAGCAACCATTGAAGCTAAGTGCCTGCAGGAACTTTCTCCTCAAAGGTACAGTAGGTGGAAGATTTGTAATATCTTTAATGCAACAAAGGGAGAAACAGAAAGATCAAACTGAAGGGCCTCATGTATTTAGAAAATCCTGCTGAGATGCTGTGATAAATTATTAAAAATTCTTGTTAATGTTCATGCCTCTCTTTAACCTCGTATTGTAATGTTGACAGCAAAGCAAAGGTGGGCAGACCCAGAAAACATTCCTAGAACTGAGAAAAAAAATATTAGGTGAAAAGGATGCATCTGCAAAGCAAAATCTTAGACATCTCTCATCGAGATTTTCCCTCAAAACATGCCCACATGGTCCAGAAAGTCTGTCATGGGATATTTCTGCGGCAACATTTTGGCTTACAGCATTCACAGAGCAGATACCCTGATAACTTGTGTTTAGTATAAACAAATGGCATTCAGGTAAAGCAGAATCAAGTGAACTTTATAGAAAGGCAGGACCAAAGTCCCCAAAATTCTCTCTCATCACATAATAATTTTTCGACAGCAGAAGAAAATGGATTACAACACTCTCAATTACTGAAAGGCTTGTTCTCTTTCAGCTGATTTTTTTTCAATAAAGTTAATGCAATTTATCTTTATTACTACATCAACACTGATGGAGTCAGCCAGAAAATTAGTTTGGCAACACTGCATTTCATAACATCCGTCTGATCATTTCATAAAATCTGCTAACAATTCAGGAAGCTAACATAGTCAGGACCCATTTCTTTTCTAAAATAATGCAGCTTCCTAAGGCTAACACACATAGCCTTGCACTAGAGCAACATGCATCTTGCCCTATATCCTCCCTGCTGGAAACAATCCTCATAATGCTTTGAAAGCCCGCAAACCAAAAATTGCAAAAATATACTTATATCAATAAGAGAGGAAAAACTCTTTTTCCTAGCCACCTACAACACAGATCCTCTTTCCTGAATTAAAAATCTGATTCCAGACAGAAGCAGTTCCCCTACCTTTAGCTGTCCTCAAGTTCCCACTGACTAGCCTTGCTAACTCCATTTAGAGCTTTAACACGAAACTTTCATCACTTACCCCCTTTCCAAGGTTTTCCTTTCCAGGGGGTCCGAGTCAGCTTGCTCAGAGTTGGTCCAGAGAAAAAGAGCATCAAAACGAAGAGAAGTTCAAGCCTAGTAATTTTCCCCACTTTCTCTGATGATAACATTTCCACAAGTTAATTTCACAAAATATCTCACATCCTCTTCCCTCTCGGTTATTAAAAGAGCATCAATCATTGAAAAACCTGAGGTAGGTGGTGTTTTGCCATCTTTAACAGCTGAAGGAGCAGCTCCCTGATGTAGCCCTGAGCCAAGCTACATTTCTCACGATCCGATCCGGCTCTCCCAGGACGCAGTCAGCACTGCTCCTGGAGCTATAAAATAATTTCTGATCTCCACTTTGCTTTCAGTGGGAATATATTCCTCAGCGTTCTGGGTGAGCTTGATTGAAAATGATAAAAACAGTAATGTCTGTGTCCAGCAGAAAAGAGAAAAGATGTCAGGATTGTGTGAAAAAGATGAGAAGCAGTTGTACTGACAGCTTTCAGGCTGCTGTGTGATCCTAATAGCCGTGCAACCAACCAAATTGCTCTTTTAAGAGTAATAAGGCTTCAGTGAAAGCCGGTGTCACTGCCACTTGGGTGGGTAGAGCTGGGCTTGAAAATCACCCAGGAACCGCCACAGATAACGACTGCTTCAGCCCTGCTTCAGAATATTAAGGGCAGAGCAAAATATAATATGCACAGAGGGTAGTTAATCTTTTGTGTGCATAGACGAGGATTCCAGCAACGTAGTAGGGAAAGACGCAGAACTTGAAACGTGTTTAGTTTTTCCTTCACTTCACCTCATGATGTTAAAAGGGGATTGCATCTGCACTAATTATTCATAAAAAGGTCTGAAATATTTATTAGAAGAACAACAATCAGTGTATGATTTTTATCCCCAGCAATACAGCAGACATGGCAAGTTCTCAATAGTTTCAGTCCTCTTCTGTATTAATGTCAGTTTCTCTGGGCGTTTCTGTGTCATCTGAATGAACCACTGTGAACGCTTTAAACAAACTTCTGGGAATACCAACAAAGACTCTGTCAGGGCTGTGCTAATGACACATTCAGGGAAGCATATTTTTTTTATTTGTGTGTGTACATCACCATGGAAATACAAAAAGCTCCCTGAGTCTCTCGGTCTTCTGTAATTATATTTAGGAAAACATTACTGATCACAAGGTGTGGTTATAATTAACATCCGGGCACAGGACGACGCCCCTGGATGGTCAAAGAGGAGGTGGGTGAAGGCAAATCAAATAAAAGTTAATTTGGTCTGCACTGCCTGAAGTGAATTAGCATGACTGAAACATTCGGGCCAATATTTGAAATCTGTCTACATCTTAGTATTATCTACATGGTCACTTATTCCTTTAATCAGTCAGCCACAATGCATGAATTATGCATTTATGTACTTCAGAGTAATCAATTGCTATATAATGATAACCTCCACTTTTATGATGTTACCACTTTCAAAATGGGATAAATTGGCCTTTTCAACTCATGCTATTGGAAGAGGTACTTTTAGAAGAATAATTTATCTTATTAAGATTAGCTATATTACATTTAAAAATGTATTTATTAAAATTTGCTTTTACATAAAGGAAAGAATGTTTGTCAAAGATATTAGTGGGACACATAAAGCAAACTGTCAGATCATCCCTTAGTTTAAAAACAATAATCAACTTGTATTCAACTTTTAATTAATTCGAAAACTTTTGAGGGAAGTGAGAAGAGTTCATATCATGCTTGTTTTATAAACAGAGGATTTAAAATTTTATGTCTCTGGATGCTTTAAAATCATTAAGTTCACTTAAGTCAGCAACTTGTTTTCCCTTTACTAGTCAGTCTTCACCTTTTTTACTTGATCCTCTCCTCTCTCCTTACAAGCATGTAAACAGAAGTTGGTGAGATGAATTGGTGAACTTCTCACCGTGACCTTCTGAGGAAGATTCTCCAAACTTATTTACAGTCTACTGGCTCCAATTCCCTTGAAAGAAAGAACAGAACCTTTCATAATTAGTGAGGTTTCTCATTTTTAATTACCTGGGCCTTAGGATGAAGAGGAAAATATCAAATGTAAACATGATAAAAGGATGTCGGCAGAGACATTCAACATTTCAGAAGGGTCTGGCCAGAAGGAGGTTAATAGGAAAAGCACTCTTTCTTTAATATGGGATATAGTTGGACAGACTCTAAGAAAATTTCAAGTTTAAATCTTCAAGATTTGCTTCCTTCTTGGTGACCCCTGGTCACCACCAACCCACAGCTCTCTCGGGTAGAGAAATTAAACTGGATTTGGAGACACCAAATCACCATTGCTCATCGAGGGGAAGCCATTCTCTGCTAGACTCATCTGACTGACACATGAAGTGCTAATCAGAGTCTCTAGATGCCACAAGGAAGAAGGGGAAACCTCAGATGGATGGGAGTACCAAAGAGAATGAATAAGGGTGGTGTTTGAAGAAGAGAAATACTGAGTGGAGGGGTCGTTCTCATGAGACACATTTCTGCACTGGTATGAGTGTGGAAATGCCTTCCCACTTAAGTTAATATAAAAAAAAATAAATTAGCTAACTGATTACAAGTTCCAAGTACCTTACATGAATTAAATCATTCATCCTGACAGACACTCAGTGAAATAGGAATAACAATCTCCATTTAGTACATTAAGAAACTGAGGCACAGAGAACTTTTTAACTTACTCAAAGTTGTCAAGCTTTTCTGAAGTCAAAAAGCTCAGCCCTAAGACTTCGCAAATCACTACACTGTGCCCTCTACTGAACTGCTCTCTGTGCTCTTAACCCTTCTGAACTAGCTGGCTCGTAAGTGACATCTTTATATAAAAGAATAACAAATAATGATGGCACATGCAATAGGTGCCGGGTTCTATGGGTTTTAGTTGTTCCATCTTCACAAAAACCTTGATGAACACATCCTCATTCATACTTTACGGATGATTACTTGTTCAGTATCATATAAGGAGTAAAGACAGAGCCAGATTTGAATATTGTGTGGGCTCAGAGCTTGCCTTTGTGCTTCTGTTTTCCAAAGTCTGCTGCGTGGGTCTGGGGAGACCAGACAGGGCTCCAGTGGGGCTGGGAAATGAGAGAACTGAGGGGGCTCCTATGGTATCTGTGACACAGAGTCTTCCATTGGCGTTGGCAGCTGCAGGGAGGTCTAGGACTCAGAAAGTCCCAGAGGAGCCTCCTGAGAGGAGCAGTCGGTATAAACTTCCTCACCATCTACATTTTCTTTAAGGAAAACAGGAGGAAAGAGAAAAACCCAGCAAGACCTGACTTACGGATACTTAGAGCAAAACATAATAAATGCTTTAACGTAGGGCGTAATAAATTGTCAGGAAGACTGCACAGAGTTCCATAAAGGTGGTATATACACCGCTTACCTACAGAGGATATGTTCCGAGATCCCCCGAGGATGCCAGAAACCAGGGATAATACCAAACCCTCTACACACACACACACACGTTTTTTCCTATACATACATACCTATGATGAAGTTTAATTTATAATTAGGCATAGGAAGAGATTGACAGCAGGAACCAATAATAAAATAGAACAATTTAAAAAATATATTGTAATAAAAATTATGTAAATATGATCTCTTGCAATTTAAAACTTGTGACTCATTTATTTCTGGAATTTTTCACTTACTATTTCTGGACCACAGCTGACCACAGGTAACTGAAACCACAGAAAACAAAAACCATGGATGGGGGTGGTGGGTGGGGATACTGTATTAAAACAGAGTGCGGTGAAAGAAAGGAGAAAGACTTGGTTCTGCTAGGATATTCCAGGCTGAGACGATGGCCTTTTGACTAAGAATCAAGTGATAAGGATGTATTTTAGGACTAGGTCAAGTCAGGCGAGAGACAGAGAATAATTCAGGCTGAGGGAATCGCATGAGCCTGGTCACAGAGATGCAAGAAAGCCTGAATCCTTCCAAGAACTGCCAGGAAGATAGCACGGCTGGGAGATCCGAGCATATGGGTGAGTAGCAGGAGGTGAGGTAGCAATAATAGGCAGGGGCTAGATTAAATTTTTAAAATACGCTTACTATCTTAGGCTTTTCTCTTGGTGATAGGAGGAAGTCAATGATGAGTTTAAATCAAGGAAATTACATAATCCAAAATCAGTTTTCAAAAAAAAATTTTTGGCTGCAGGATGTTGGAGAGTGAAATTGGAGGCAAAAAAAGCATTTAGAAAGACAGTGATATTCCAAGCAAGATGTATTTGCAAACTGAACTAAAACAGTAGGAAGAGAGTAATTTGAAATAAATTATAAAATTTAGTATCATAATCTATTAATTCAACAAACATTTAATGACCACATATTTTGAGCCAGGTAAAATGCTAGGTATTTTAAGATGAATAAGACAAATTTTAATAAGACCCTATTATCAAGATGCTTTATCCTTAAGACTTCGGGGACTAAATAGACAAGGGGAGGAATGGAGCATTGCTTCATTGTCTCAACTCTCTTCTTTAAATACGTCTTTATAAATTAGATTTTGTCTGACCTACTAACATTTGCTCCAACTTTGACAGCATTAGGTAAGACTTAGGTATCTTAGCAATTACATTAAGTTTTATTCTAATACAGCTATTTATTGTTTCCTAATAACACTCCTTGACATCTTGATATTTATACTCAATAAACACCATCTTATCTTTTATTTGTTTTCTTAACAGGGATATAAACTCACTAATCTCTGATACTAGGTAACAATGGTGTGATGTCAGCCATTCTGCTATGCATTTAATGATTGAAAATGTACAAAATAAAATCTCTTCTACTGAGTTTACAACCAAGAATATTACCAAGCATTTGAAGAGCTGATTTTTCTACCAATATGTTTTTCTTAACCTCACAGATTGTACTCACTTCATTAGATGTGACTGCAAATTGAGCAGATCAGGTTTGTGAAAATTCTGTGAGTTTGGTCATTAGGTAGCTGGGTGGTTCTTAATGGGGGGAAATTATACTTTTTCCCCAAGGGACATTGGGCAACGTTTGGAGACATTTCTTGGTTCTTGCAATGAGGGGTGAAAGGATGCTAGGACACGAACTGGCTAGAGGCCAGAGGTGCAGCCAAACATCCTATAATGCCCAGGACAGTCCCCCAAAACAAAAATAGCCTGGCCAGAAATATCAACAGTGTCCAAACTGAGAAACTCTGCGGTACCTTCAGCTTGTCTGACCATAGGTGATGATTCCTCTAGCCACTGTGTCACTGCAGTGTAGCAAGAACAAATGCTCTTCTTGACTGAAGCTCTCAAGGTACCCACAGAACACGTCTTACTAGGGTGCTCATTTGCAGCACCAATGAAAATATTCTGTTTATGTTCTTGTACTTTGAAAAAAGGCTCCCATTTCTCCTATTACAATTTACTTACAAGGAGTTGTTCATCCCCCTGACCCCTTTATAACAGACCAAATAACTGGTGGATTTACTTTGCTGGCATGTTGGGAGGGGCCCAGGGATACATGTGTATATCAGGAAAAAATCATTCCTGTCTGGAAAATTCTATGTTCATCTATTTCTCAAAAAAAAAAAAAACAGAGAAAATCATTGGGCCAAACTTAGCTGTCTGGCTCCCCAACAACTTTCCCTTGTCTTAACCTGACAATGATTATTCTCTAATAACTACAGGTTGCACTCTCCTAACTATATTTTATATGCTCTATTAATAAGCCATCAGAAAAGTTTAGCTGGGATTTAATCAAGATGAGAGCTGTAAATCAGCCATAGTATTAGCTTGATAACTCTTGAAAGACCATAGAGAAGTTTGTTAATACATGCATTCATACATATATACATAAATAAAACGTTGTCTTAATTACTGTTATTACTGTCCAATTCTGTAGCATTCTATTTTGACTACCCAAG